ATTAGACAATGTGTGACATTTCACACAAAAACCCCCATGGTGGAACTAGCCTGTGGATCACCAAAATCATTAGGATTCATCCTCTGCAGATCATTAGTGTCTGCACACAACGCCATGGCAACCCATCCAACACTTCCTGAGATATGTCAGTCTGGAGCGATGGGCCAGCCAAGTGATTGCCATCCCTTCACCCATGCTGCGAGCTAAGGCTAAAAAGGAAAAGTTTTGCCTGCCACAGTGTTGTTCTCTTTGTCGTTTCTTCTGCTAATCATTTTCCCTCCCCCTCCGTATCCTCCCCGTCACTCTCTTCTTCAACATGCAGGGATCGTTTCCGCACCTCAGTCAACGTGGTCGGGGACTCCTACGGAGCCGGTATCGTCTACCACCTCTCCAAAGATGAGCTGGACATGTTTGACGCCCAGCAGAGCCGGATGGACGAGTTCGAGATGGCAAAGACACAGTCCTACTATGAAAATAACTCCAACCAGAATGTATACACTCATCACAACTCAATCTTGATAGACGACTGCAAGGTACATTTCACGTTAACGGATATAGAGACTTGTATGTAGAGACTCCTCCCCAGCTGTGTCCATGTGTTTGTCTTTTCTTCCTGTGTCCATGTTTGTGTTTCTTCCTATATTGGTGTATTTGTGACTATGTGATCAGTAAATGTCACATGAAAAAGCAGTTTTTGTGATACCAGGTTCATCAAAAGCAAAGTTTGTTCTTTTTTTTTTATATATATATTATATATATTTATTTTTTTTTTATCATCTTCAAAAACTCTGTTTTTCTCTCATAAAATCCAATGGAAAAGTGTTTAAGTATCAATCAAACAGAAAGCGTTGTCTCTGTACACGATTATATTTGACTTGTATTTTGTTGTGGTATGTCTTGGAATTTGTTTAGAAGCTGTTTTTTATTCATTTATTTATTTTCTTTTGTCTACTTAATTGGACATGTATTTGTGGCAGCCCTGACCAAATTACAGTTTTCAATAATTGCCCATCTTTTCAAAGCGTTTTTGTAGCCAGTGGTACGCATAAAGACTGCTGTTTCACCATGTCTCATCCAAAGTGATGCATATACATTCATGAAATGCCAATCTCAGGTCCTCTCCCATCTATATTGTAGCTAGCTTTCCAAACAAACACAACTTCAGAGAATTTCACCCGTTAAAAACTTTTTTCATTGATATTTCATATTGCCTGTATAATGCGACTTTTTGTCTGATGCTAAAGTTGCACTGTGATCATTAACTGATAAGTATTGTAATTCGGTTGGGCAGAGAATCCATAAAATACATGGCCAACTCCAGATGTTCTTCTGTTAATAACGAAGCACTGTGACGTGTAAACAGCATCACTGTCTCGTTGTGTCAGTGCATGAGAGGACATGTTTGTCTGTGTTGGGGACTCAGCCCCGAGGCCACTGGCCCGAATGTAAATGAAACAATGGCTTCTCTGCCCCCAACCGCTGACGGTGTGTACATGACGGTGCCTTGGCCCCAGTAGTTAGATGTTCTTGATAATTGCTTACAGGTCACCATGGGCAAAAATGGCAAGACTCCAGATTTCTCTCTTGTTGAGGAGGAACCATGGAAATGCGAGTAAAGCAGCTTCAGATGCTGCTGCGCCTTACCCTGAGTTCCACCAGCTTTTACTCTCTGCCGACGAAACTACACAAAAAAAAAAAACACAAACAAAAAAAAAATCACAAACAAAAAGAAGAAAAAAAAAAGGTGAAAGTTAGAAGAGTCAACTGTACTGCAAGCACAAACAGTCGGCCAGTTTTTTTTTTTTTTTTTTACTGCAGCAAACTACAGATGACTCACCAACTTGTATTAGATCTTGCATTTGCACTAACTGGACACAAACTGCAACGAGCGGCTGCACGTCGTGCGCTTCGCTCAGAAGAATCAAACATTCAGTTGACAACACTACAGGGCCTTACGTGGTGCTGCTGCTGCTGCTGCTGCTGCTGCTGCTGCGCTGCTGCTGCTGCTGCTGCTGCTGCTGCAAGCGTTAAAGAAAACAAGAGCGTGAACGGAAAGACACAGCACTTCGTGCGGCGTCGCGATGTAAGTGCGAGATGGTTAAATACTGCATTTAACTTTCACTTGTTTGACTTATGGGATTACACCCTGATGTCGCACACACATGGTCAAGCGTAAGAAGCAAAGCTTAGGACTTAGACCATTAGAGGGGGATGGAGGGTGCGGCCTCTAAATGTGGTAACAAACAGTACAGGATGTGCTGCAGGGAGCCGTGAAGCAGAAAACAAGAGTTCATGAAGGGTGCCCTCCCAGTTATTTATTTATTTTATTTATTTTTTGTATATATACATATATATATATATATATATATATATATATATATATATATATATTATATATATATATATATATATATATATATATTGTTCTTTATGAGTGAAGCACTGCGTTACTGTTTGCAGTCAAAAAGTATGCCTGTGTTCATGTGTGTTTCTGAGAGGAGGATGAACAAAGGAAAAGAAAGTTGGAGGCTAAAGAAACTCTCAGCGGGCCAGTGCATTGCTCTGTGTTTTATTTCAAATTGTTTATTTCTTTGCTAATATGACAACCTTGCCTTGAAGATGTCAACTGCAGAGTGCAGTCAGTATGATTTTCTGGATTTTAAAAAAAAAAAAAAGAAAAGCAAAAGATACTGCTATTCATCAATATCGCAACTCACATTTTAGCATGGGGGAAACGAAAACAGCTCCACCTTCCAGCTTCACTACACTCTGAGCGAGGACGGCTGGGCCTTCCTCGCAGGATGTTACTTAGTGTTTTGCAGATTTTACTTTTTACACAGCAGATTTTTTTTTTTTTTTAGATTGAAATAAAAAAGCTTGTGAGAGTAAAGTGAGTAGCAAGCGCACAATAAATTCTGCGTAAGAATCCGAAGCCGTAGCAACAAGGTCGTAGAATGTTGGCTGAATATGAACATGTTTTGAGTTTAAGTCCGTGTAACAACTCTGTTCACACCTAGGTGAAAACTGAATTATTTATTTCTCTTTTCATATAAGCAGCAGCTTATATGTTCATGTTTAAAGTGCCTCCTTGCACTTTGTGTATATACTCTCTTTAGATGACGTGTATAAATCAAATGTATAGAATTTGACATTTTTTTTGTCATCTATCAGAATTGTTTTTGCTATGCTAAAAGTTTCTATAAAGTCTATAGTTATATATACTGTATGTAACAATATTTAGTGCGATGTTAAACGGTCCTTCTAACGGGCCTCTAGTTGTTCTCAGTAGGTTGTGAACTTATAGGTTGTTTTATTTACAGGCAATACATTGAATTTATCTGTTTTTAAGAGAAACTACTGAGCTCCAAAATGTTTGTCAGGGACGAGAGATCAAAATTTTCCACTTGTTTTAATGACTCCACGTTGTTATTGATTCACTGCAGATTGGGTTATTTATTAAGGGTTATGAGCATATTGGTGTTGGCAGCTACAGTATGTCTACATGTTGCGAGACCTCAGCAAGCCATCCAGTGTTTTGACTCAAGCACACCCCCACCCACCCACCCCACCCCCCTCCCTCAGGAATTATCAGCACACCCTGATGTATGTGAAAACCCATCCTCTGTTAATTCGTTGCATCGCTTTCCCGTCTGTTTCATTTGTCATTGGTCCTCGGGCTGAAATAAGAATGTGTATGGCCTAGCTTAGTAAGTGTTTTCTATGAACATGTGAAACTGTACAATTCTGTAGATCATAAAACTTCTATTTTCTATCTTCCTTTTTGATTGTGTGCACATACCGGTCGAGAAAGTATTCAACATTTTGTCTTTTTTGTGTCTGACATTCATTGTAATGCAGACTTCCTTTGACTTTGACTGACTGAACGCATGCAGGATTGATCGCACTCGTACTCAAATAAAACTGTAACGGAGCACACAAATATTTGTGCGGCAAATGGACTGAAGATGTGTAAATGTTTTAATACTTGTGTGTAAATATTAAACACAAATAAATGTTTATTGATGAGTTGCCGCTGTGTTTAATTCCTCAGATGAGGGCGGATGTCGCGCGGCATGTGAACATTTCAATGAAATGCATGTTAACGACAGCTGAAGTGCTGTGTAGGTTGTCGAGAGAAGCTAATGAGTTTAGCGCACTGAGCAACTGTTCAGCACTCCAGGAGCTTCCGTAATGAAATGAAAAGAGCGGCTTAAATATAAGTTACAACCCATGACTTTAATAACATTATTACAAAGATATTAAATTATATTACAGCAAAGACACTGGAAAAAAAAGAACACACAGAAGGGATTTCTTGAAAAAAAAAATAAAAATATTTACAATGACACTGGAAAGACTTTCCAGTTATATTTCCCACATAAATGGAATTGGTGCATCTTCCCCGACTAGTTTTGATATTTTACAGTTAATGACAGAGCTGATTCGGAACAAAATACGTCAACCAAAGTATTGCAGCAGCTTCAAAGTGAAGGTGTGGTGAAGAGCTTTTAAAAGCCGGCAGGAAAAACCAGACGCTGAGTCTCGTTCAGGAAGGACTCCGAGCCGTGAAAGGCCACAGAAAACCTTTTTTTTTTTTTTTTTTTTTTGCTCAACAGCCCTGGCAGTAATGTTCCTCTGATCAAATTCATCCGCTCCAAACACAGTCTTGTGGTTCTGTGATGAGTCTCCAGCACCAGAGGGTCTCTCTGTGAAGCTCAGTGTGATGAGTAGTTTCTCTGGAAGCTCGTCCAGAGGGATGACTGTGTACTCTGCTGCCTTCCCGTTCTCCTCTGGGCTCCTCTTTGTGCAGAAATGTCTCCAATCTCTAGCTCCCTCTTCTGGTTTGAGGAGACGGTTTGTGTCTGTGGCTGGGAAACCTGCTTTGGTCGCGTTCCACCTGCACAATAAGGAAGAGAGAGAGATTTTTAATTCTATGCTCAAAATAACCCCAAAAAAACAACTTACAATCAAAAATATTGCTGTTTTTTTTTTTCTGATGTTAAAGTCTCACTTTTCTCTGGTAGCGATGGCAACGCAGACCATTGTCATTGCTGCAACACCGACAATAAAACCAAGGATGATGATCCAGTCTGGAGATAAGGGAGAGAAGGAGTTAATGAGAATGGACTTTTAAGCCAGAATTGAATCATGCAGAAAGCTGGTTTATTGACTACACCTCACCTGGTGTAATGTGTCCTTTGTTCTGGGGTAATGCAGTATCCGGATTCTCCACTAGAAGAAACATAAAACACCAGACTTTTAAAATCTTAGTAAAGACAATAATGATATCGATTGCACACATAATTAATGGATATCGGATATTTACCATCAGTGAATGGGCTACTTGATGCTTTTGACCACTGATTCGTTTACAAGCAACTTTCTGGAAAGTTTACAGTAACATCAGCTGTGGAGGTCGATGGTTGCGGGTGCTGGTTTCTGTGGAGGAAACATAAAAACCGGCAGGCTAAAATCTTCAATATGCAAACATAACGAGCAAGATGACAGTGATAAACAGGGTTATACGATATTTGCCATTAATGGGTATGGGCTGCTTGTACGACTGTGTTCTGCCTTTTTCAGTAGAGGTTTGATATATTGAAAGCTCCTCTGACCTTACCCTCTGTTTGGTTTTGATCCTTCAGTTACGCAACAGTCGTGGACGCCACGTTGTCTGTATGACAATCAGCTGTGGAGGTTCGAGTGGTGCGTGCTTGGTTTCCTGTGGAGGAGCATTAAAAATCACACTCTTAAAACGAGCGGTTTCGTCTTCGCCAGGTTTCAACAAGTTTAAGACTTTTTAAGAACCTTTAATGAAATTCAGATCTGAGATCTAGTTTCACATCCTACACTGGCAAAAAGAAAGCCAGCCATGTTCCGACAGGGTAGCAGCAGTTTGTATTAATGGTTATCTGATGCCATGTTGGTTCTGTTTTTGTTTCTAAAAAACTTTTAATACGCCAGACTGAAGTTAATGTCAGTACTTTTATTAAAGTCAATGTTCACATTCATAATCCGGTCAATATGTAAAGACCCTGTAAAACTATATTTGTGACGATGAGTGGTGGTGAATGGATAATACTTTGTGGAAGCTATGTTTTTTCAGTAGTGTGTTGACACAGAAGCTGCTCTGAAATACCTCTGTTTGTTCCCGATTCCCTTCACCTCCTGTGGAAACAGTGGTGGAGCCACGTGTCCTGGGTGACATCAGCTTGTGGAGGTCGAGGGTGCGGTGCTGGTTGTCTGTGGAGGAACATAAAAAACAGGGCTTAAAAATCTTCAGTATAGCAAATATTACAGACAATATGACAAGTGAATGTAGGTATAACTAATAAGGGAGGGGGTGAAGATATTTGCTCATTAATTAATGAAGTAAATGAATAATTACATATGACTTTGTTTTGCTATTTTGCCTTTCCAGTAGTAGGACTCGACACTGAAAAGCTCCTCTGACGTAACCTTGTGTTGATCCTGGATACCTGAATCCCTCATTTCATGCGAACAGCCACGGCGCCTTGTGTTCGATGACGTCAGCTGTGGAGCTTCGCGTTGCAAGCACGTGCTGGTTTCTGTGTTGGAACACTAGAGGTGTCATAGTGACATCATCTCCGTTTACAGACTCTAGATCTGAATCAAACAGTGCTACAGAAGTCAAAGATGGAGTCAGGCGTTTGAGAGTTGGCCGGAGGCGGGGTCCGGGGTGACACCTTGACTGGGCTTCATTTGGCACTGGTGAAGAGGTAAAGTCAGGCTGAGGCTTTTGGGTTTGTAGGATGTGTGAGTGGTCAACCGTCCATGTTGGACAAAACAGCCGAGGTCGGCCAGAGACTCCTCGCTGTCGCCCCTCCGCGGCGCTCCCCTGCAACCGGCTTCCGGAGAACGGCTTGCGGGGAAGGCGTGAGGCGTCGCGTTTTTTTTGGTGACTCAGTTGTGAGGGAAAGTTTGAAAAAGGATTTTTCGAGGAGGACACCCTTCCGTCATGGCCTCTCGAAAACAGACATCCAATAGCTTTGGTTGGGGATCTGGTCACAGCTACGACAAAGACAGATGGAAAAAGAGATCCTACAGATCAGCGCAAGTGGTTTTACACGTACCAGCCCCCAGCATGAGCGCAAAGGAAAGTTACCGAAAGAGCTTTGTTTTTTTTTGATAGTATGTACAAATGGATCACACAGGGCTTTTGTACTTCGCAGCACCAAATTCTTTTGTAATAAACTTGCGTTGTGGTCTTCATTGACCAAGGTGTGGTGAGGAACAGTAAATGTTAACCCCCACGTGAGTAACTTGTGGTGTAGTGGGGTTTAAAAGGACGAGGCCGCACCACAAAAGCATTCAGTTTTTGTTAATGAGCAAACTCCCAGCGATTTTGACACGCCCAGCTTCGCAGCAGCTGCAGAGGTCTGAACTGTTCTGTAGTACTTGAATGGAAGCCATCGTCCAGGGTTTCATTACACCCGAAGAGGAAGCAAGAGGACAAAATCAAGGCATTTTGTTCCGTTTAAAATTGTATTTATTTTAACTACCTGCAGTAATCATAGTTTAAACCAGACAGTGGATAGATAGGTTTTATTTCATATGGCATTTATCTATATCAATAGTAAAAACAGGAAATTCCTCTACATTCAAAGGTGCTGAATATTGCCATTTTTTTTATTCACTGTAATTTTACAGGCTATAGCTACTAGTAAACAGTTCACAATAAAGGATTTTATATTTGAAATGCAATTCATTTTTTAAAAGAACAATACAGTTGGGTTGTCCAAACTTTTTTCTGGCTCGTTCCGCTGAAAAAGACAGGTTCAGACGTCTAGAGTTGTTAGCTGTTCAAACCCGAAGAAAGATGGTTTTATTTAAATTCCTGCTGGAGGCTCAAGAGGGTCAAAAATAATAATAAATAAATATTTTAAAAAGAAGGAATAGTCAAAACTTTGCTGATAACAACTTTGCTTGACTTTATTGGTGATATAAAAGTACATGCCTGTTAATCGGTACATCTGATCTGAGCACTTCTTCCAGCCACTGACCAATAATGAGCCAGTAATTCTGTTAATTAAATAAATAAGAGGCCTGAGAATTGGAAACTACACAGCTCCACTCTCCATTTTCCTTCTGCCGTCACGCTCAGCCTCCAATGATCCTAGTGAAGTTACCGGTTTGCTCAAACTTTTTGTAACAGCTCTCCTCTGCTGATCTTTTGGTTCCCTCATTCATGTCATAAGACGCATTAATGCATCCTCCTGGAGCAGCTCAGAACGTTTCACAAAGACCTCTTGTGTGTAATCTGGAAGGTGCCAGTGAAAAACCTTGCGCGCACGACAATGAAATCGCTACTCTTACAGAGAGAGTTAGGCCTGAAACATAAAGAGCATCTTAGGTGGCGGGCAGGGAAAGTGCTGACTCACAAGGGGTTGAGAAAAAGGACACCCCATGGAATTGCACATTGAAATTTCTAGTACTGACGAATTTCTGTATTTGTCAGCCCGCATAACCATAATAACGCGCTTCCTGAAGTCCTGAGATAGAAGAATGTCAATTGTTTGGCCAAAGAATTTCATTGAAGCTATCAGTGAATATCTCACACAAGGATGTGAGCAGGAAAAAAAACAAACATTCATGTTTCAGTTTAATTCTCAAAGATAAAATCACGTGGCTAATAAAATCATACCGGATACAGATCCACAGAAAAAGAGATAAGTTTTTAGTTTTAAGTTGTCTGAAAGAGGCAACTCTGTGGAAAATCAGATAGAATAATTCAAAAGGGATTTTTACTTACTATCAACAGGTTTGTGTGGAAACAGCAAGAAGTCCCGAGAATAACCCCAGAAGAAGAATTCTTCATCCTCATACCAGAACCGGTGACAGAGCCATGGACTGAAGTTAATTGTTAAGCCAGCGCGGAACCTATTTGGCACACTGAGCTGATAATTTGAGGCAGATGATTCATGGCTTTGCCTTTTAACACAAGCCAGGCAGGTAGGCTTGTTGCGTCTATACAACAATGGTTGGCAACTTTTACAAAACATACGCAGAGGGCTGGCACACACTGGAGAACACGCCCTCTTCCTCAACACAGCCTCTTCCTCTCACACACTTTCCTCACGGTTTTTTCTTTTTTTTTGCTCCTCCTTTTTATTGTACACACTTAAAAAAAAAGAATTTAAAAAAAAAATGGGGTCAACCTGATTAACAGACTGGTAATGTAAATGAGATACTGGGAACACACGATTCTGTTTATCATTTATGATCAGGTGCAAACGACGCACGCTGCGTTTCTTCAGAGTCAACAACATCACTTTAAAAAGAACATAAAAAAAATTGAAAATGAAACCACCGCAAGATGAGGCTGTAAACCAAGAGACAAATACTAAGGCTTGCCAAGAAATGGAACAAAAAACAGGTCACAAGAAGAAGAAGGAGGGAAAAACTTTAATTTTCTTGGCATGTGTTAACCGCAACAGGTTTCTTTTCAGATTTTAGAGACCAGCTTAAAGTGGAAAGTTGTGACAGTTGGGTGTAATTTAAAGCAATAATCTATAAAATTATAGTTTTAATATCAAAACAGTTTTCTGTTGAATAGACCCCGAGCTGAAACTGGTTCTATGACATTAAAAAATGTAACATGTTGGATTTTATACACAAACAGTCAAGGTGTATATTTAGGAGGAATAATTATAAATATGTATCTACTAGAACATAACTTAGACTGGATATAATAATGCAATACCCAAGATGCAAATACAACAGGAGAACAGAACAAAGAG